TTATTTTCCAACCTGATCTTCCATTTTGGTGCTACTGTTTGGCTTTTTTCTTGTTTGTTGATTTTGCATCCAAGGTATTCAGTTATATCTGCAGCTGTGCTGTACATCACTTGGTTTGTTCTTGCAGTGGGCTGGTGCTTAAATTTGATATTACAGTATTGGCATCTTTTAATACTTGTGCTAGCTATTCCTTTGTAACAAGCTTCAATGCAGGCAACTTTATTCTATTGTTTTTGTGCTGTTCTAGATGCTCAGTTATTCTTTATTTCAGTTCTTCTTGTTTTTAGTTAGAGGGCTTTGTTCTTTCTGAGGAGAAGGCAGAGGAGAAGGTGACTGGTTTGGGAATGAGAACAATTGAATAGCGATGCTGGCTTCCTCTACTACTGACCCCCTCTGAATTGTCTCCACTGTCTGAGCTACGTCTGGCTAGGCTTTGATTTCTTTGCCCTGGGTAGACCTTTGCAGTTCTTCCAATTGTACTTCTGTGAATGCTTTATTTTGTGTTATAAATCAATGTTGATCTGCTAGCCTTTGTGTTATAAATCAACATTATTTCTGATTCTGGAGGTGGTTCTTTCCAGAAGTGGTGCATTCTTTTCAGATATCATCTTCTTGTTGGACTTGATTTGTAATAGCAGATCATTATTTCTTTGTTTCCAGTCTTTGTGTATTTGCAATGGGTAAGCAACTTTTCTTCCAGTAGTCCTGCAGCTGTTGGTCCTGGTTGTTCAGCCAACAGTCCTGAGTCCTATAGTCCACTTGTCACCAGATGTCCAGGAACCAGAACACCTAGTGCAGTCCTTGTTGACCTGTGTGATAACCAATCCAGTATAGGTTTCTGTAAATTGTATCTCACCATATTGTTTATGGGAGAGACACTCTTGTTATTATTACTCAGATTTATTATAGCCACCCACTCCAGGAGATTCTAGTGAGACGCTAATACAGACTTCAATAAATTAGAGGGCTCCAGATATTTTTGACTTGTCTTGAGGGGACAGCAATCATTGTTAATATTGTGGGAAAGCACCTCTGTATGAGGGAGGTGTGATACAGATTTGCCTACACTTGTTTGTGTGTAATCACAGTTTATGCCTACATACACATTTGACTTCTAAAAACTTAGTAACATTTGTGAATAGGCATGTGGGCAGCAAGGAACTTTTACGATTAGCAGCACGTTTCAATGTGATGCCTGTCAATCTTTAGGACTCTACTCTTAGCAATTCCAGGCAGCATGAGGAATGGTAGGTTTTATGATCAAACCCAGTGGGAAGCCATTGGTTTGCAAAAGGGGCAGCACTCTAAAAGCCTGAATAAGTTGAGAAAATATTGGTACATGAAGTGGAAGTATGAAGTAATTTTTGCTTTATAGAGGAAGAGGCGTGGTAAGAGAAGTTAATCCTTCTTTGGCCTTTAAAAGGTATCTGTAAGAAAACAGAAGACGAAAAGAGGAGGAAAAACTTAGTTTCCAAACGGATTTCATAGACCAAGAACATCCGTGTGCAAACTTTGAAGGTATTTAATATTTATAGCATGTCAATATCATTTGCAGTTCTCCACATCTTCTCTAATATTGTCCTGTCTTTCTCTTGTCCAAGATTCTTCATTGCTGGGTATCTACAACTTGGCTCTCCTGAAAGAGATCATGGAGTGTTGTGCACATTTCTGGTAAATGGAACAAACATTGTTTTCTTTATTAACTTACTAATTCTCTGTAAAAATGAGTAAAGTAGTCGGACACAATTGCATTTCTGTAAACGTTAGTAGGTTTAATACTTTTCAGTTTACTATAACCCAGTATCAATTAATATGGAAACCAGCGAAAAAGGTCCATTACTCACCATTAACTTCTTTAAAGAGCAACACATATTACATAATTCCAAGAAAGCAGTTATGGTGAGAGTAGAGTTAAGACAGTGTTGTCCAAACTTGGCCACTTTAAGATGAGTGGACCTCAACTCCCAGAATTCCCCAGCCAGCATGGCTGGCT